AGCAGCAGCAGCAGCAGCAGCAGCAATAAGCGCGGCCGCACGACAGATGGCGGAAGGCAGGGCGGCTGGCAAGCGGCAGCAGCAGCAATCAGCAGCAGCAGCAGCAACAGCAGCAGTGGCAGCAGCAGCAACAGCAGCCTGAGAAGCAGCGGCAGCAGCTACAGCAGGCAACAGCCCCAACAGCAGCAGCAGCAGCAGCAGCAGCAGCAAACAATGCCTCGCTCTGCTGGAGGGCAGTACGAGCCGCTGGCAATCGTGCCAGCAGCAGCAGCAGCAGCAGCAGCAGCAGCAAACCCCTTGAGCTGTGGGGGCCCCCTTTCTGGCTCTCGGCGGCTGCAGCAGGCTTTGAGTTTAGAGTGTATAGACAGGTTGAGTGGCCCCGTGAGTTGCTGCTGCTTCCTGCCTCCGCTGCAGCGCAGCAGCAGCAGCAGCAGAGCAGCAGCAGCAGCAGCAGACTCCGATGAAGAGCAGCAGCAGCAGCAAGAGGACAGCGAAGACGGCGACATCGAAGCCCTGCTGCAGCGCAGCAGCAAACGCAAACAGCAGCAGCAGCAGCAGCAGCAGCTCAGCAGCAGCTGGCTGCTAGCAGAAGGCACTCGTGTCTTCAGCAGCAGCTGCAGCAGCAGCAGCAGCAGCAAATCCGAGCCCGTCAAGTTCTTCTCTGCGAAGTCCCCAGTCACGGCCCTTGCCGCCAGATCAGGCAAACCCTAAACCCTAAACCCTAAACCCTGTGCTGCCCACCGCACAGGCACACAGAGAATGCACACCTGCTGCTGCTGCTGCTGCTGCTGCAGGCCCTGCTGCTGCTGCTGCTGCTGCTGCTGCTGCTGCACTGCCTCCAATCACTCCCTGCCTCTATCACCATTATTTATTATTATTTATTATTTATTTATTTATTTATTATTTATTTATTATTTATTTATTTATTTGTTCAGATGGAGCTCTCGCGGCAGTGGGGGAGTCGCTGGGCCTTGCTGCTGTGGTGTCTGTACACTCGAAGCAAACGCTGCGGCGGCTGCAGCAGCAGCAAAAGCTGCCGCTGCGGTCTCTGGTGTTTAACAAGTTTCAAGGAGCTCTTTTTGCTGCTGGAGATGACACGGTAAACCCTAAACCCTAAACCCTATCCAAGTGATGCTGCTTTAAATGGGCTTTACGGGGCTCTTTTTACTGCTGGAGGTGACACAGTAAACCCTAAACCCTAAACCCCAGCAGCGAAAGCTAGCCTCAAGCAGCCGCAAACGCCGAGTGACTGCTAGGGTTTAGGGTTTAGGGTTTAGGGTTAGCGGGTCGAGGGTTTACAGCCCACGCTTGATGAGCTCGCCGGGCCGCGGGCCCGACTCCAGGGCCCCGAACCTACGGTTTAGGGTTTAGGGTTTAGGGTTTAGGGTTTGCGAAAAGGTGGTTCGGGAGTGGAGTCTGGAAACTGGGGCTCTTTCTGCGGCTCTGAGTGGCCACAGCGACAGCGTGAGGTGTCTAGACACCTCAGAAACCCTCGAGGGTTTAGTGTTTTCGGGTTCTTACGATTCCACGGCGCGTTTGTGGGATGTTCGCCACCAGGTAAACCCTAAACCCTAAACCCTAAACCCTAAGCCCTAAACGCTAGGGAGTGGGGGTGCTTTGCGCCGGGGCCGCGCGCCCGGGATCCAGAGAGCGCCGCTAGGGTTTAGGGTTTAGGGTTTAGGGTTTAGGGTTTACGCAGGCCGCGGCTGCGGCACAGACTCGTGCTGCAGCTGGCGTCGCCGCTTCGCACACTCAGTTCCTAGGGTGTAGGGTTCAGGGCCTAGGGTTTAGGGTCTAGGGTTTAGGGTTTAGGGTTTAGGGTTTAGGGTTTGTGGCTGCAGAAGTGCTGCCTCTCGCTGCCCCAAGGAGACCCCACAGAAAGTGTTCGCCTCATAGACGGCTCGGCGACGCTGCAGCTGCTGACTGCTGCTGGAACTCAAGTAAACCCTAAACCCTAAACCCTAAACCCTAAACCCTAAGCCCTAGGCCTGAAGCTGGCGAGGCCCTCAGACTTGTGCGCGGGCAGCTGCCGAGGGTTTTAGCGGGGCTTCAGGCGCTGGGCGGGGCTCTCGGCGGCTACTGCCTAGGGTTTAGGGTTTAGGGTTTAGGGTTTAGGGTTTAGGGTTTGGGTTCAGGTCCGGCTGTGGGACGTGCGGCAGCCGGCGGCTCCTCTGTGGAGCCTCAGCAGCTTCGCAAAGACAGTGACTGTTGTCCGCGAGTTTCCTGCTGCTGCTGCTGCTGTTGTTGCTGCTGCTGCTGCTGCAGCAACGCCTGCAGCAGCAGCAGCAGCAGCACCGCCAACGCAGGAGGGGCAAAAGCTGCTGCTCGCCGCCGCGTCCTTAGACAATGTTGTTCGCATCTTCTCTTTCGAAGTAAACCCTAAACCCTAAACCCTAAACCCTTGAGCAGCCGGCAGCAGCAGCTGCTTCACGCCGCCAGAGCGCGAGGGCTCAGGGTTTAGGGTTTAGAGTTTAGGGTTTAGGGTTTAGGGTTTATGCTCAGACACTGCAGCTGCTGCAGTCCTTCAGCGTGCGAAGTGAGCTCCTCTGCCTGGACGCTGTGAGCGGCTACAGCAGCAGCAACAGCAGCAGCAGCAGCAGCAGCAGCAGCAGCAGCAAGCGATTCAGCAGCAGCAGCAGCAAAAAGAGAAGCAGCAGCATTCAAAGCCGCATCCTAGTGGGCCTCTCAGATGGCTGCTGGCAGCTGCGGCGGATTGCGGGGGGCCCCACATCTGGGACGGAGCTGCTGCTGCTGCAGGAGCAGCAGCAGCAGCTCCGTCCCAGATGTGGGGCCCCCCGCAATCCGCCGCAGCTGCCAGCAGCCATCTGAGAGGCCCACTAGGATGCGGCTTTGAATGCTGCTGC